CTGCTTCCAGATGTGTGGACACTGGCTGGGACTGCTCAGTGGTCCACTCTGCATGTGCTCAGAGGAACTGAAAGAAAGATATGCTTCAGGGTTTGCAACCTAGCACTGAATGCAGGGGCTTAAGCTTCAGAGCAGGTTAAGCTCTGGCACCATGGTTGATACGCCTTGATGACAGATGTGGAGCGTTTTCCTGCATGCATAGCACAGCTGGAACTGTTTTTGGGAACTGAGGTGGCTTAAGGGCATGGTGGGATGTGCACCAGGGTTTGGGGCATTTCTGTGCAGCTGTGAGGGGGGTGAGTCAGAGGCTTTTGACACTAATTGTGTTGTTGCATGAATCCTGACTGTCGAATTGCTTGTGTGGAAGGGAGAGAGGTGAATGTGGAAGTTTTGGGTGGAAATGTTGGTGAGCTGTTGCATTGCACATTTGACTCTGGCAACAGAGCTACTGATGCAAAAAGGCACGGCATATAGCTGGCGTGTGTATGGGTGAAGCAGGACTTTTGGTAGCAAGATTGATCACATCCTGGTAGGAGAACTAGATATGTATTGCAGCACAATCCAGTGCATGTTGATTCAAAAGGAAGTCCTATTGGTTTCACTGGGGCTTACTCCTGGGAAAATGCATGATTTCCGTGGGACCTGTTTGCAATATAGAATGTGGCCAGGGGGTGCATTTGTGTGTGTATGTGGGGGGTGCAGGATATATGCCTATCTGGATATGCAAAATGTTTGTATGTGTTCAGCAGGGCCAGCCCTACCCTTAGGCACTTTGAAGCGGCCACCTCAATCCACTGACTTTGGAGGTCATGAAAGCACAGCAAATGGTTATTTCATTTATTAGCCTTGTGTTTTTACTGTCGGGTGTGGACGTAGGTTTTTTTTGTTTTGCCTTAGGCGGTAAAGCAGATTGGCAGATTGGCTCAAGTGTGTTGTGAAATGTCTTGAGCCGGCACTGATGTTTGATGTAGATATTTGGGGGTTGTTTCTTTGTGCACATAATGGCAGGTTTTTTTGGTTAGTACAAGAAGAGGGTTTGCTGTGTAAACTGTGTGTGGAGTGTGCCAAGTGTCTGACAGCGCCACCCCTATGCATGCCTTCTCAATATGTAAGCCCCATGGAATTCAATGGAACTTACTCCTGGGTAAACACAAATAGATTTCCAGCCTTGGTGAGTCATTTGAAGAAAGCAGGACATTGTCATGCCCTGTGTGTGTGAGGGGGGGGGGGAGAGCAAGTGAGATAGTATTTTGTGGGAGGAATACAAGTATATACCCTACACTGGGCTTTGAGCAATTAAAGTGGATTAAAGCGTTTTGTAAAACACACACACTAATATAGACAACTGCCAGAATTTTAGCAGTTAAGAAAGTGATAGGGAAATGAAGTAAAAGTTTGGGGCTGTGGCATTAAGACTGAATGAATGCTTAATGGGAAGATGTATAAACACCCATTATGCAAATCAGAATGAATGCTCAATAAAGACCAGACTATAGCTGTGTACATGCTATACCTTTAAAACACGTTCAAAGCACATTTTCCCCTCAAAGAATTCTGGGTAGTGTAGTTTACCCCTCGCAGAGCTGCAGTTCACAGCAAACCTTAACAAACTGCAGTGCCCAGAATTCATCAAGGGGGAAAATTGTCCTTGGAGTGTGTCTTAAAAGTATAGTGTGCCTTCCATGTTAGTATTGTGCAAGCGAATCAGGATGAACCCTGAGTGAAGAGGTCACGCAGTCAAGCTGTGAAACGGAGCACAGATTAGTTATTCGAATATACCTATTAATTCAAACATCTGTAAATCGCAATAACAGAATCTTAGAATTGTAGGGTTGAAAGGCACTTCAGGGGTTGTCTAGTCCAACTCCTTGCAAGGCAGGAATTTCAACCAAAGCATCCTTGACGGATAGCTATCCAAACTCTGCTTAAAAACCTTCAAGGAAGGTGAGCCCGCCACCTCCCGAAGGAGGCTGTTCACTGCGAGTTGACCATTGCCTAGCAGTGCATTTAAGCTGAGCCAAACAAACAAGTTCAGGAGTAGTTGCAATAAACACCATACATTAAAAGCACATATTTTGCCCAAATAATCCCAAGACCTGTAATTTGGTCAGGGTTCTAGAAATTCTCATTCTGTGAGGGGTAAGCAATAGTTCCAAGCAATCTTTGGGGGAAGCCATGAGTTTCAAATACCGGTACGTACATGGTGTGCCTACAGCTTTAGTAGTACCAAAATACAAGGACAATCAGACAAAGAAAATAATAAAAGATGGGGGGGGGGGGAGAGATTGCGTAAGTACAGTGGTACCTCGGGTTACAAACACTTTGGGTTACAGACTCCGCTAACCCGGAAGTATTATCTCAGGTTAATAACTTTACCTCAGGATGAGAACAGAAATCATGAGGCGGCCGCGGGAGGCCCCATTAGCTAAAGTGGTATCTCAGGTTAAGAACGGTTTCAGGTTAAGAACGGACCTCCGGAACGAATTAAGTTCCTAACCAGAGGTACCACTGTATTCTGAACTTTAGTAGACCTGAAACTACCCACTCGTCTGAAGAATGTCAGGCAGCAAGTTATTCACCACTGGCAAACAGCAGAGGTGGGAAACGGAAGGCTAAAAGGACTTAACGTCACTCTAGTTTGCCAGCAGCTTGTGCCTTATATAAAAACATCATGCTTTCACTCTCCTTGCAACCCTTTGGCTGCCCCTGCCCTACTGAAATCTCTCTGCTGCCTGCCTTGAGCTGGGGAAACAATATAGGAAGAATGTAAGTTTTTGTATGGGCCTGCAACGACCCCTGGTGGTCCATAGTCAAAAAGGCATTATGAAACTAAATGGGGTTTTGTGTGTGCCTGTTCTAGGTTTGTGGTGGTGTGCTGTTTTTGTTTGTGCATTGCCCTGAGTGCTCTGGTAGGCAAAAACCCAGATCAATGCATATATAGCGAGGAGGCCCAAGTAGAGGCAAACTCCTTTATTTTATGTGAACTGTGAAAAGCAAACATTTCTCCATGGTTGAAGAATGACTTGATTTACATACCCTCCAACAGTGCTTTTTTCCCTGTGGGTACACAGGGATACACATACCCCTAAACATGTTGTGAATCTAAGTTTGGCCTCATTGAGGGGCAGTATTTCAATATGACTAGGAAAATGAGAGTAACCCTAAATATTTTTTTTAAAGAAAAAAAGCACTGCCTTCCAACATTTCTTTGATGAAAATAGGGAAGTCCCATTCCATCTTATTATTTATACCCCACACCTCTTACTGGGTTGCCCCAGACACTCTGGGCAGCTTTCAACAAATATAAAAACATAATATAACATTCAACATTTTAAAAAACCTTCCCTATACAGGATTGCTTTTAGACGGCTCAGGGGTTGTATAACTCCATACCCTGCAACATTTCTCCAGTGAAAATAGGGACATCCTTAGGAAAAGCAGGACATTCTGGGATCAAATCAGAAATCATGGCTTCTGTAAATCAGGGACATCCCTGGAAAATAGGGACACTTGGAGGGTCTGGATTTACTAATTTAACTTGTTATATCAGAATAAGTATTAATACTCTCAACATGACTTTGAAGCTGGTAACTGACCTTTTCAGCATTCATGCTTAAAGGAAACTGGTAGAAGAGGATTTTTTTGAAAAAAATCTGGAAACATCTACTAGACCTCAAAATAAATATTGGTTCGGACATTACTTTCAAAGATCCCAATCTAGCCCTGCACTAGAGACTGGTACCCAGAGGCTTACTGCCTTTGACAATGGAGGAAGAACATAGCATTCATGGCAAGCAACCACTGACAGCTTCATGGGTGTGTCTAATCCTGTTTTGGAGGTTGGGTGCCCAGCAGGGGCTAGGGGTAGAGGATGTTTTTCACCCTCCACTCTCATCAAGCCCTCACTGCTGGAGACAGGCAGGGCACGGGGATCTCTGTGAGGCCTGGGGGCACTTGGTTCGTGCCCCCCCCGATTCTGCACCCGGGGCCTCAGCCCCCCCTGCCCCCCACACTATACCACTGCATTTATAACCGATATACTGGACTCTGTGTGTCCACAGAATCCTGTAAGATAGACTATGGGAAAACACCTGTGAACCCAGCACACTTAATATGTTTAGGAAAATCAGAACACCACTTTCCGGCGAGGTTGTACAAAAACCAGGACAGAGTAGTGCTACACTATCAGGTGCTTATTTCCCTCCCAAAGATCCAGGCAGATGGCCTAAAACATAGTGGATTATATCCTTCAAAATATATATTCTATGTGGTGCCTGGTGTTTGAAGAAATAAAACATTAGCAAAGTCAGTGCCAGAAGACATTGGATGGTATAATTTTCTGCATTTCTTGTCAAATGTGAAACTTCCTCAAGAGAGAAAAGATACATAGACACTGGCTTCTTTTGGACCTCTACCAACTAGCACTGGAAAATGGTTTGGTGGCCCAAGCTATAATGTCATGCCACTTTTAAGTTTATCTGTCACAGATTCTCCCCCAAGAATCCTGGGAGCTGTAGCTTGTTTAGGCTGCTTAGTGCTCTTGGCAACTCCAAGCCAAAGCAAAAAGAAGAAGCTGTTGGGTGGTGGGGTGGTGTAGTGCTTCAAGTTTCATACTATGACTGGTTCAAATCTGAACTTAGCCGTGAATCTCACTTGCTGACACTCAGCCTAACCTGCCTCACACAGTTGTTAGGAGGATGGCATAGGGAGAAAAACCACCTGTACTGCCTTGAGCTCCTTGGAGGAAAGGCATAGCTATAAATTGGAGGAGGAGGAGAAGAAGAAAGGGAAAAAAATAGACTCTACATATCCACAATTATTTTCAGGGATTCTTCTTTGCACCCGCAACCGGATTCAAATAGCAGGTCAAGAGATGTGGTATAAAAGCTGTTATTTACCTTACCGTACTAAAACATCCAACAGCTACAGTACAATATTCAAGCAGCAGGTCAAGAGCTATGGCATCCAGCACAGGCAGGTAGAATCAATAGGGTCTTTATAACAACTGTAAGAGTCTGGCAACCAGCCAGCCCAGTCATGCGTTTACATTTAAAAGAGCCTCATTATCAGCACCTGCCTCTGCTGGTCAATCAATTCCTGACAGTTACATAACATCAACATGTTCTTCATGCAGCTCCATTGCACTCTCAATGTATTCTTTAATTTGGAAAGGGTTGAGTGAAAAAGGCTGCATGGACCTCTTCTTCAGTGCTCCTCCCTCCTATTTAATAACTCCCTTTTGTTCAGCTCAGGCCTGAACAAGATAATGTAGCATTTGGGGAAGAAGATACAAGTCAGCAACCCAGCACTGGAGGCCAAGATGGAGAAGATCTCCACAGCCACCATGTATTTCCCTTTGGTGCTCAAGTAAGTTGGAACAAAGGACATCCAAACACTGCAAAACACCAACATGCTGAAAGTGATGAACTTGGCTTCATTGAAACTGTCAGGCAAGTTCCGGGCAAAGAAAGCTACAGTGAAGCTGGCCATGGCTAGCAAGCCCATGTAGCTCAGGACACAGTAAAACATGATTGGGGATGACTCGTTACATTGCAGTACAATCTCCTCAGTCATTGACTGGGTGTCAGTATCTGGGAATGGAGGAGAGGTGGAAAGCCACACCAGGCAGATGCCCGCTTGGAGAATGGAGCAAGAAAGGACAATGGAGATGGCCAGGCTTTTCCCCACCCACTTCCTGATCCTGGATGCTGGCTTGGTGGCCATAAAAGCCAGAACCACAGTAATAGTTTTTGCCAACACAGAAGAAACTGCCATTGCGAAGACAATGCCAAAAGCTGTTTGGCGGAGGAGACACGTCACCTTTGTAGGTTGGCCAATGAAGAGCAATGCACAAAGGAAGCAGAGCAGGAGGGAGATGAGAAGGATGTAAGTGAGGTCCTGGTTGTTGGCTTTGACTATTGGAGTATCCCGGTGCTTTATGAATATTCTTAGCGCCAGAGCTGTGGTCAAAGAAAATGAAAGAGCAGAAATGGTTGAAATGATGCCCAAAGGTTCTTCATAAGACAAGAAAGTTACTGTTTTGGGAATGCATAAATCCTGGTTCTCGTTTGCATATTGCTCATCTGGACATTTGAAGCAATGGGCCATGTCTGAAAAAGAAATGTTATATTGTCTGTACATAAATGTGAGTTATATTTTTCTTTTAAAAATAGTTTCTTGGGGAAAGTAGTTCCAATGTTTTTGGAGTTTTAAAGCACAATGTGGGGCTGTTTGAAAGCCCTTTTGCAAACAGCTTTTTGCTGCGTTTTGAACCTCCAGTTTCCAGAGGATTAAATTGCATTACACAGCTGTTTGTAGGAGGACTTTCCAACAGCCCTGTGCTGAAATTTGTGGTACTCACATTTGGGACTTCAATGTGCAGCACCATCTGATGATGCAGGGATGTCAGATGATTGGCAGGTGGATAGCCCTACTGAAAGTGGGGAGATATGATCTGGTCTACCTGCCAAATAAAGTTCCCCTGCCTCTGAGCACATTAATGAATAATTCTTAGAAATGATACAAAGCTGTTTGTCTTGCTCAGGTATTGCATTCTTTGTTGATGCTGTGAAATGTACCATTCTTTCCAAGGAATAATGGTTATGGGTTATGGGTTATGGGCCCTAGCCCTTTTGTTTTTGAGTCCTTTTTGGTCCCCCCCTTTTTTTTGCTGAGGGGAATAGTGACTCACCACCAACATTATATTTTGTTATTTTTCCCACCCATCAATTTTTTGTCCCATTTTCGGCTAATGTAAAAAATAAAATAAAATGCAATATTTTTGCAGTTGTGGCAGTTTTGTGCATTTTGTGAAACTTGTTTTTTAACGATAGCACCCCAGGATCTAATGAGTGGTCATAGTTTTACCCCTTTGGTCCATGGAAAATGGGATTGGATATCCTTTTAAGGGCGAAAGGGCATTAAATTGTACAAAAAAGCAAGACCCACAAACAATGTTGAGGAAGCATGCAAATGAGACAGAGAAAGCAGTTTTGCAATGGGAATCATTGTGCAAAGTTTAGAATACTCCCAGTTGATTCAAATTAAGCATTGTGAAACTGCAGCCAAAGCTTTAAAGAAGCTAGAATTAGAATTTGTTAGCAAGAAGTTTCCGGTCAAATGGATGAATCAACTATTGAGGCTAACACTGAATTCCAAAAGAGACTGTGGCAAGCATTTAACCCAGGTAGCAACACTGATTGACCAGTTTGGCCCTAACAGGTTTTGTTCTTGGTGATCAGCAAAAGGTCTCTGTGCTGATCAGCTCACTAGGAGATAATTCTGATGCTTTTGCAACAGTATTGGAAGGAAGAGATGCCCTGGACTTTAACAAAAGCCATAGGATTTCTGAAACAGCATTGTTTTCAAAAGGAGGAAATAATACCATCTGCAAGCAGAGAGCCTTCTGGCTCAAATTACATCTCACATTCGAGAAAATATTATGAAAATGATCTACAGGTGGTACATGACCCCAGTCAAGCTAGCAAAAATTTATCATTTGCCCAATAATAAATGTTGGAAATGTAATGAGGCTGAAGGTACCTTCTACCACCTTTGGTGGACCTGCCCGAAGATAAAAGCCTTTTGGGAAATGATCTATAACGAAATTAAGAAAGTTCTCAAAAGGACTTTTCCTAAGAAGCCAGAGGCTTTTCTCTTGGGTATGGTGGGCCAATTGGTGTCAAGGAAGGATAGGACGTTTTTTATGTACGCCACCACAGCAGCAAGGATCCTTTTAGCAAAGTATTGGAAGACACAAGAACTACCCACGCTGGAAGAATGGCAGACGAAGGTGATAGACTATATGGGACTGGCGGAGATGACTGGCAGAATCCGTGACCAGGCGAAAGAGACAGTGGAAGAGGACTGGAAGAAATTCAAGATATATCTTAAAAATTGTTGTAAAATTGAGGAATGCTAAGATGTCAGGGAAATGGGAAATAGAGAATTGCAGCTGTAATTAACAAGTTAAGGCAGAAATTGAAAGAACTGATTTGAACAGTTAGCTAATTGGAGGAGTTGCTGAAGAAATTTAAAACAAGGATGTGGAAAAGGGGAGGTATGGGGAAGACCAGGAAGCAAGGTGTAAGAAAATAAGAGTATGGAATTATACATGTTTATATGTTTGTATGTTTGTGTATTGTCTATTGTTTGTTTTTATTTTGTGTGTTGAAAATCAATAAAAATTTATTAAAAAAAACAAAAAACAAAAACAAATTACATCTCACATTCAAGGGGGAAAAGCCCAGCCCAAGAGGGAATATCTTACCTGTTTCAAATGTGGGATGGAGGGCACAGGACTATTGTGTGCTGGAGTAACAACCCCGCCTACAAGGCAACACATTCCAGGCAACAATGGGGAAAAACCCCAGAGCAACAAAGCAATATGCTCCTACAGTGCACACTTGTTGCAACTCAGAAAAATGCAGACACACTCCTATATAGTGTCTAACCATATTTCGAATACTGAAGACTGGTAACTTAGTAGAACAAGGAAGCATGAAAGATCATTTCTCACACTGAGGTTATGCACCCAAGAAGCTCTGTGTGTGCACTGATGTTCTTGCATGCATGTTCGTTTGGATCCTCACCAGTCTTCTGATGTGTCTGTGCACTAGAACCCTCACCTTCATGGTCAGATATCCACCCTTTGGGGCATGGGATGCAATCATAGCAGCAGAAGGGCTCCCCTTCCTTCTTTTTCATACTGTAACCAGGCTGGCAGCTGGCACTGCAGACAGAAAGGGGCTGTACCTATCCACCAGTGGAAGAGGAGAATGTTAAGCTTCAGAAGAATAGTCCTGGAATAGTCCTGTTCAGGAATCAACCTGCTTTGGATTTTTCTATTATCCTAAGCATGATCAGCAGCATTTGAGGCCTCCCTCCCTTCAACTCCACAGCACTTGAGCTCAATTCCAGACATCTGACATGGGAAGGTGACATCTGTCCCAGGCTCTCTCCAAGACTCATCACCAGGGATTGGGAGAGTAGAGAAAAACCTGTTGGCCATGCCTTCCTGACACCAGTTCAAATCAGATCCTGGATCCCAAGACCCTGTCTCGATAATGTATCTGCCACTGCATGTGTTTTGCCTTGCTGGTACCCTGCTTGAGGATTGCTGCACATTATGCATACAAGAAGTCATTGGCACTCAGTCCAAATCCTTGCAGTGCATCAGAAGTACTAAAGGTATGTGGTGATAGGAGAGTGTGAAGGATTCTAGCCCATTAAGATACACTGCCTGGTAGCAGTTCTTCAGGGCTTCAAACAGGGCGTCTCCTCTCAAGATGCCAAGGATTGAACCTGGAAGTTTCTAAATGCAAGGCAGATTCTCTGCCACTGAACTACAGCCTCTCCGCTCAAGAAATAATAACATAATAAAAACAAATTGTAATTTCGTATGCACTAGTACACAGGTGAGAATGCGAGGAATGCTCTAACAAACATATCTTGCAATAAAGGTACTGTATTTGACTATGAAATACCATTAAATGAAAATACCTTATGGTTTCCTATTTAGGATAAACAGTGGAACCTTGTTTCTCAAACTTAATCTGTTCCAGAAGTCTGTTTGACTCCTGAAACGTTCGAAAACCAAGGCACGGCTTCTTATTGGCGCAGGCCCCCCAGAAACAATAGCCGACAGCTGAATCGGATGTCTGGCTTCTGAAAAACGTTTGAAAACTGGAACACTTACTTCCAGGTTTTTGGCGTTTGGGAGCCGATTTGTTCGTCAACTAAGCTGTTCGAGAACCAAGGTTCCACTGGATGACAATGTCTGATCTGGAGTCTGTCTTGCTGGTTTAGCTTTTGGGTATTTTTTGTATTTAGAGGCCTTGTTACCTGGGATCCTAAGCTGTAGCTTACTATCATGTGCAAGAAAACTAGTATTGCTTATACACCATACAATTTAAAGGTTAAGGGGGGGGGAAATCACATTTGTTTTGCATTTCAAAATTTGTGACTGATTTTGAGAACCGCCTCATTAAATGTGTAGCATAAACAATTTTAAGGACTGTAAGTAACAACAGCAACAAAGATACCGAGTCCTTTATCTGTGTGATAAAGGCATTTGCATATTACAGTTTGTCTTGAGACTAAATCCAGTACTTAAGACATGTTAAGGATTCGTTGTTTAGACAGAGAAAACTCTTCCAACTTCCAAAATTGGGACACTTCCCAAAAGATCTGCGTTTAAACCCCACCTGGTTAAACCAGCTGTGCCATACTATGGAAACCTCGCTGATCGCAAATTGTTCATCTGGAAGTGCCCAGGGATCCATCTTCCCAACCTTTGCTCGAATGAAAGACTGATTGGGAAATGTGACCCAATTTACAATGTCAAATCCTTGAACAAGCTCCCCTTTCTGGTCAAAGGACACCTTTTCACCAGCACTGTTGTTAAACGACACGGATTTCAGAAAGTGGTGGAGCTGGATTGAAAAGGAAAAGAGAAAAATGTCGTGGAAAAGTTGCAACTGGAGTACAAGGAATTGTACGGCTCCCAGCATCAGCATAGGGCAGGTTGCAGGCATTGGGGGCAGGACAACCGGGGGGCGGGGCGGACGGACATCTGCAGAGCCCACACAGAGAGTGAACAGAGTCCACCACGCCAGCCCAGCCCTTGTTGCTGTTGCTGCTGGAGCAACCCCCCCACCGGAGCCAGATATTAAGTTATTAAGTTTTGTATTTTTCTCTAGAAACCTTAATAAAAAAAATTACCAAAAAATAGAGAATTATTAGAGTGGAATCGAGGGGACTGTAAAATTAAAACAAGTGAACAACTAGCAAGAGAAAGTTACAGTCTCCAATGGTTTGCTCATTTACAACTAACTGAGAGATTTTAGATAGATAAAAAGACCTTTGGTAGAGAACAAAAAAAAGGACAAATTTCAAAATACAGTTGTGTACATATGATGAATATATTATTGTTGAAAAGTGAAATGCAAGAAGAACAAGTTAAAGAATGCATAATTAAATGGGCGAGAAATTTTGGGTACAATATACAAATGGAACAGTAGGAACACATATGAACTGAAGGGTTAACATATACACTGCGTTATGACTTAAAATAAAATTTCTATAGAATGATGTACCTTTGGTACTTAACTCTTGGGAATTTATTTAACCATGGTAATGCATGATTACCCCCTTCCCCTTAAGAAGTTGAGTCCACTACCTGCCAAGGCTGCTCTTCATGAAACTTTCTTCTCTTTCCCAGCATCATACTCTTACTGTTGGATATGGATGAGTGCAGGGCATGTAAAGCATGTGCCACAGCATAGACACCATTGTAGATGCTGTAGCTGTAGCCAGTTACATTCATTGGGAAGACATGCCCAGGAAGGTTCTCTAGCTTTTCCTCTCCAGTGCAGATATCACCACTCATGTTGCCTGAAGCAGAATCCTGGAATGAACAGCCAAATGCCTGAGCCCAAAAGTCTTTGATAAAACCATCTGTTTCAGTGGTGGAAGGCTTTCTCTCCTGAATAAATGGTCGAAATCCCCAAATTTCATTAGAGTGAAGGGAAAGTGCAATAGCACCATGGAAGTCTTGTATGTCCCACCGTTGTTCCATAGGAAAGGATTTTAACTCCATCATGACTGTCAGAATCCAGACTTTGCCTTTGGACTTTTGTTTTTTGATTTCTGGGCTTAACAACCATCTCAGTAAGATCATGGACGTAACATCCCCACAGATGACCAAAACATTGGCTTTGTTGTTCATGACCTTATCATAAAATTGCAGGACACCTCTGACAAAATCCCCCTTCACAGCATCATAAAACAAGCTGCTGAAGGATTCCATGACAGCAAAACAGATGCCACGCTTGGAAAATTCAGGAACCATGTTCTGTCTGAACCACTCTAAAATTTCCCCGTTCTCTTCAATGAATCCAACCCATCTCCACTTGAAGTGATGAAGTAATTGGAGAATCCCTTTGTACTGAAGGGATCTATTTGGAACCATTTCGTAGAAGGAAAAGAGTTTTGGATTATCCATGATCACTGAACCAGAATTATACATCAGCTAAAGATGCAAGGTGGGGATAGAGAGAAATATGTTTTTAATGACATTCATGTAATAATAATAATAATAAATTTTATTTATATCCCACCCTCCCCAGCCGAAGCCGGGCTCAGGGCGGCTAACAACAATAAAATAGTACAACATTATCTATTTATGAGAAGGGGGTGCATTTGTACAATACTGTATTTTAAAATGACATTTATTCCATATGCTAGCCATACTGATTGTCCCAACATTTTAATGGAGTTTTTAAAAAGTTTCTTCTAAATTCTTCTAAAATGTTCTCTTTGGGAAGCATTACATTTTGCTGAGTTCTTATGCCACGCTGTTGTATGAATATTTCCTTGTTGGTTTGATAGCATATAAATGGAAAGACAACAATACAGATGTGATCTTGGGGAAGGGGAAGAAAATAACTTAATTTTATTAGCCTTCTGTGATGAAAGAGTTGGTTTTGCAGGACAGGTTGGATCAACAAGTGTGTCCCCCCCCTTTCTTTCACTGCCAGCAAATGGTAAACAAATGGCAGCCTCTGATTGGCCGTGGTTCTAGGAGGGAGAGTTTAAAAGGAGAGGATGTGAAAAGAGAGAGATTGTTGAGATGGTTAGTTGAGGTGGGTTGGAATTGAGGTTGGAGAAGCTGGGAGACAAGTTGAGGTATAAAGAGTGAATGGGAGAAAGAGTTGGTTCTGGTGGGAAAACAACTTCCACTCTGAGTGTATTGTGAAGGACAGAGTGTGGTGTCTTGTAGGAGGAATAGACCAGAATTTTACTGGGAGGCGGAGGTTGAGCCAGGAAAAGTAGGAGCTGGAAAGGAAGAGCATACTTGGGACTCAAATCTAGTCTGGAGGGGAAAGATTCTTCTAAGGAAAAGAAGAAACCCCCCCAGCCCCGTGAAGGGAGGGAATGTGGAGAGCCCTTTGGTTTATTATTTAAATTACCTCAGGAGCAGGATTGTTAAAGGGGGTGGATAATTGAAAGAAAGTACAGTGGTACCTCGGGTTAAGTATTCAATTCGTTCTGGAGGTCTGTTCTTAACCTGAAACTGTTCTTAACCTGAAGCACCACTTTAGCTAATGGGCCTTCCTGCTGCCGCCGCGCTGCCGGAGCACGATTTCTATTCTCATCCTGAAGCAAAGTTCTTAACCCGAGGTACTACTTCTGGGTTAGCGGAGTCTATAACCTGAAGCGTATGTAACATGAAGCGTATGTAACCCGAGGTACCACTGTATCACCATATAAAGGAGCCAAACCTATAACGCAAAAACAACTGAGGATGAATTAAAGCAAAATTGTACTGTATTCCTGAAGTAACCTACATTTAACCCATTTGTTTTATATACTATCTTTTATACTATCTTGCCTTAAATAAATCTTTATTGCTTATTTAAAGAAAACCTGTCTGAGGCTCCAACTTACTAATTATCCCCTCACAAAGGTCCCCCACAGGCTACTCTGGGCTAGAATTTTAAGAGTAAAGGAAAAGAAACCTTCAGGTAAAGGGTTGTTCGTGGGTGTGTGTGTGTGTGTGTGTGTGTGTGTGTGTGTATTTATCTAAGTGAGAGTGGGCCCAACGGCATGAGAGGAAAAAGTGCCGTCATGCTCGTCACACCTTCATCCATCCATGCTATGTTGTAAAAGTGCTGACATAATGGGGAAATGGTTGCACTTTCATTCAAGTGGGAAAGGCATTGTCTTAACTGCAGTTCTGTTCCTTAGCCCTAGGCAGATGCCAATGTCAAACAGGAACGAGGGAACGTGGCAATTTTAGCTTCTCTCAGTATCTTACTTTTCCAGTCTTCCCTTCTGTACTCTATATTTTCACATCTGTTTGTGATGAAAATTCATCAACATTTGTGAATTTCTCAAAATATAGACATTTTAGCAAAGCAATATTCCCTTATTGCAATGCAATTCTCTAGTATATATGAACTCATACACACACTTTTACACCAGGATATGCATTTTTGTATGCATTGCAAAATCAGGAGAAACATAAATTTCAAAAGATGGCTGTATTTTATTTTATTTTTTTAGTTCAGATCTTGTTTCGGAATGTGAAAATTAGGTAAGTTTGCCTTTACATGTGAATTTAATATCTCCCCCATTTCTGGACAAGTCTACATAATTGGGATTAGTGCATTTCTAGAATGAAAGGTAGATGAAGCCTGCATGCTATTTAGAAATGAGAGGATTTACCTGTGGAATCTTGTAAATATTGAAAACAGTTGATATTGAGTGGGAGAATTCAGATGTCAGTTCCCCAATGACTGCCAGTAGATTGTTCTGGATATCACAGTTGTAATAGGGGAGAAATTTTTTTTTGGGAGAAATAAATTCCATTACGGCACGAGAAATCCAATTTGGATTCAAATAGCTGTCATGGATGCCGAATCCAAGTGTAATATTTGGTAGGATCTGGGGATTTTCATTGATCTCCTTTACAGCAAATGCCAAAGCCAGGATGTGCTGGTAGTTCTCAGTTATGCTTAAAAGAGATTGACATTTTGTTTCATAAACATTTTATACACTTTCCGAACCTGTATTATGGATTTTTTTAAAAGGCCTCCTCTTTAATTATTGTTGCCTGCAACACATTCTAATAAGCCTTTGCCTATTCACACATATAGATCATTAGATTCCTGTGCAGCTTCTATCCTTTTCTCTTCCTAATGCACCTGCTGGTAGTTCTCAGCCGCTATGCTAAAAAGAGATCAACATTTTGTGTCTTAAACATATTCTACACTTTCTAATTTTTGAATATTTTTGTCATTCGTGAAAATATACACTATGCTTCTTTAAATTGTAGTAGGTAAAACAGGAATAAGACAGCATATCAGTCCACAAGCCTATATTAACTGACATTATTATTATTATTATTATTAATTTTATTCTTTGAATTTATATACCACCCTATACCTGGAGGTCTCAGTTCACAGAATAAAATCAAGATATAAAACCGCAAAAGACCTAATTAAAACAAAAACAACCCAACCCCCCAAAAAAAACATTTTAAAAGGGCATAGGCTGTAAGTCGGATCAACCAAGGTGAAACATGCTCTATTCAAATAAGGCAAATTATTTACCACAGGGTGTACTAAAATCAATGCACACAAACTTAAAGCTCTTCTTACTTTCCTAAATTACACCCCTCTTCCCACCCCCACCCTATAATACTATTTGGCATCATTACATAAAGGAGATTTAGATGTGAGGGTTCGGCTCCTGATGGTACTGAAATAAAGCAGGGTGGGGCGATTTATTTTTATTTTTTTGGAACTGCTCTGTCTTCCAGTTTTTTTGGGGGGTGACAGCTTGGTTTGTGGAGTTCAAATACACCAGATTTACAGTGGGTTCACAGGATTCTCAACAGCGTGAGACAATCCTGGGATGAAATCAAGCTGATAGGGAAGACAACTAGGAATAGGAAGAGGACACAGTGCAAATATACGTCAGATAACGTTTCCAACTCTCAATACATGGTGGCTTTTTTGTACATGGAAAAACACCTTTACAGGGAAAAATGCCTCTTTAATTAATGTTGCCTACCCCACATTCTATTAAGCAATTGCGTGGAGGTTAGTCATATTTCTATTCACTTCATCCTGGAATGAAAGAAAGTCCAATAGGGAAGAGAGCTTCAAGAGGACTGAGATGTAAAATGAATGAAGAATAACAATTTAAAGCCTCAATATATGCCAAGTGACTTTTTACTTGGCAGTTCCCCTCTTTAATTAATGCTGCCTGCAGCACACATTGTCTGGAGGCTACTTGTTTTTCTATTCACACACAGATCATGAGATTCCCGTGCAGTTTCCCTCCTTTTCTCTTCCATGGTCACATTTTCAAAGTAAAATAACTTTGCAGTGTTCAAGCCAGGTTTGCAAGGTGCACTGTTGCATCTATTACCTTTCAGCTACAGAATGCAATCTAGATCTAGTCTTCAATTAGATCGGCCTGGCTCTCCAACTGTCTAGACAGAAGTAGAGTATCAGGGAGAAATTTTTCTTTATACAAACATTTTAGGTAATTGTTGTGGCCCACGAGAATGTTTGTTGAAGGCAACTGGAACAATGCATCCAAAGATGAAATCTCCTGACTGAGAATATCCGGGAAGAGAAGGCTGGGAGTGCTGCATCCCACACTGAACCTTCTGGTTTTGGCATGCTGTGTGAGGCAGTAGAAGCAGCAACATTAATACTAACATCAACATCCTGAGTACAAATGTATAATATGAACACAGGTTGCAGGAGATGCAAACAGGGAAATCTCAATCTTTATAATCCCTGTAATTGCACCAGACTGTTTTGACTGACCCAAATGATCATTCTGTTTGCAGATAAGACCAAATCCAGCATTATCAAACACAGAGTACCAGAAATCAGTCTGATGGAGCCTTGTTACTCCTGAGACCCTGGTACTGTATTCACAAAGCATATTATTTCTTTTCTTATTAGTCACTAGATTTCCAGAGAGGACTCTGCAAGTTCCAGAGTTAACTCCTGTCCTTATGGTAATTACAGGGGACTCAGCTCAAAGCCTCTATGGCATTGCTGGAGAACACCTGTTTGTCATTCATGAAAGGAAGTATTTACTATGCACTGGATAGCGTTGTCTGGAAGCATAACTTGCCATTAAAGACTTCAGCCTATAGCCCTTCAGTAAAAAAAATAAAAAAGGCTGTAGGACAGGTCTGAGAGAGACTACGATGAAAAATTTCCCATCTCTGGAGAAAAAACACACACTTTTGACATTCATGGATTTCCTTTTGGGAAGGGTCATAGGTCAGTGGTACTGGTTCTTCATTACATGCTCAAGGTGCCAAGGAAGCTTTGGTATGTTCCTCCAAGTGTAGATCCACTGAGATGAGCAATTTAGGATGATCGCCAACTCAGTGGACTCATTCCTGGCTCAGCAGGCACTAAGTCTCCAAACGTAGTTTAGCCAAAGGTATGTTACTGCTAGTTGCTCGTTCCTGGCAACCTGGCACAAAACACTATTTTAAAGGCTTGCTTTCCTTGTGCCAGGTTTGGAAAGAGCACATATTTCGCCCAAATAATCCCAAGACCTGTAATTTGTTCAGGGTTCTAGAAATTCTCATTCTGTGAGAGGTAACCAATAGTTCCAAGCAATCTTTGGGGGAAGCCATGAGTTTCAAATACCGGTACATGGTGTGCCTACAGCTTTAGTAGTACCAAAATACAAGGACAAACAGACAAAGAAAATAATAAAAGATGGGGGGGGGGGGAGAATTGCGTAAGTACAGTGGTACCTCGGGTTACAAACACTTTGGGTTACAGACTCCGCTAATCCGGAAGTATTACCTCAGGTTAATAACTTTACCTCAGGATGAGAACAGAAATCGTGTGGCGGCCGCGGGAGGCCCCATTAGCTAAAGTGGTACCTCAGGTTAAGAACAGTTTCAGGTTAAGAATGGACCTCCGGAACGAATTAAGTTCCTAACCAGAGGTACCACTGTATTCTGAACTTTAGTAGACCTGAAACTATCCACTCATCTTAAGAATGTCAGGCAGCAAGTTATTCACCACTGGCAAACAGCAGAGGTGGGAAACGGAAGGCTAAAAGGACTTAACGTCACTCTAGTTTGCCAGCAGCTTGTGCCTTATATAAAAACATCATGCTTTCACTCTCCTTGCAACCCTTTGGCTGCCCCTGCCCTAGTGAAACCGCTCTGCCGCCTGCCTTGAGCTGGGAAACAATATAGGAAGAATTTAAGTTTTTGTATGGGCCTGCAACGACCCTTGGTGGTCCATAGTCAAAAAGGCATTATGAAACTAAATGGGGTTTTGTGTGTGCCTGTTCTAGGTTTGTGGTGATGTGCTGTTTTTGTTTGTGCATTGCCCTGAGTGCTCTGGAAGGCAAAAAATCCAGATCAATGCATATATAGTGAGGAGGCCCAAGTAGAGGCAAACTCCTTTATTTTATGTGAACTGTGAAAAGCAAACATTTCTCCATGGTTGAAGAATGACTTGATTTACATACCCTCCAACAGTGCTTTTTTCCCTGTGGGTAGACAGGGGTACACATACCCCTAAACATGTTGTGAATCTAAGTTTGGCCTCCTTGAGGGGCAGTATTTCAATATGACTAGGAAAATGAGAGTAACCCTAAATATTTTTTTTAAAGAAAAAAAGCACTGTCTTCCAACATTTCCATAATGATAATCTTATTATTTATACCCCACACCTCTTACTGGGTTGCCCCAGACATTCTGGGCAGCTTTCAACAAATATAAAAACATAATATAACATTCAACATTTTAAAAAACCTTCCCTATACAGGATTGCTTTCAGACGGCTCAGGGGTTGTATAACTCCATACCCTCCAACATTTCTCCAGTGAAAATAGGGACATCCTTAGGAAAAGCAGGACATTCTGGGATCAAATCAGAAATCAGGATGGCTTCTGTAAATCAGGGACATCCCTGGAAAATAGGGATACTTGGAGGGGCTGGATTTACTACCGTAATTTAACTTGTTATATCAGAATAAGTATTAATACTCTCAACTTGACTTTGAAGCTGGTAACTGACCTTTTCATCATTCATGCTTAAAGGAAACTGTGGTAGAAGAGGATTTTTTTGGAAAAAAATCTGGAAACATCTACGAGACCTCAAAATAAATATTGGTTTGGACATTACTTTCAAAGATCCCAATCTAGCCCTGCACTAGAGATTGTGAAGTCCATAGCAACTGGTACCCAGAGGCTTACTGCCTGTGACAATGGAGGAAGAACATAGCATTCATGGCAAGTAACCACTGACAGCTTTCTCCTTCATGGGCGTGTCTAATCCTGTTTTGGAGGTTGGGTGCCCAACAGGGGCTAGGGGTAGAGGATGTTTTTCACCCTCTACTCTCATCAAACCCTCGCTGCTGGAGACGGGCAGGGCACAGGGATCTCTGTGAGGGCTGGGGGCACTTGGTTCGTGCCCCCCCAAGATTCTGCACCCGGGGCCTCAGCCCCCCCCCCGCCCCCCACACTATACCACTGCATTTATAACCAATATACTGGACTCTGTATGTCCACAGAATCCTGTAAGATAGACTATGAGAAAAAACCTGTGAACCCAGCACACTTAATATGTTTAGGAAAATCTGGGAATAGCCGAGTATAATAAAACGAACAGTGATCTCACTATTAGAACACCACTTTCCGGCGAGGTTGTACAAAAACCAGTACAGAGTAGTGCTACACTATCAGGTGCTTATTTCCCACCCAAAGATCCAGGCAGATGGCCTAAAACATAGTGGATTATATCCTTCAAAATATATATTCTATGTGGTGCCTGGTGTTTGAAGAAATAAAACATTAGCAAAGTCAGTGCCATAAGACATTGGATGGTATAATTTTCTGAATTTCTTCTCAAATGTGAAGCTTCTTAAAGCGAGAAAAGATACATAGACACTGGCTTCTTTTGGACCTCTACCAACTAGCACTGGAAGTGGTTGGCAGTGCTGCTTTGGTGGCCCAAGCTATAATGTCATGCCACTTTTAAGTTTATCTGTCACAGATTCTCCCCCAAGAATCCTGGGAGCTGTAGCTTGTTTAGGCTGCTTAGTGCTCTTGGCAACTCCAAGCCATAGCAAAAAGAAGAAGCTGTTGGGTGGTGGGGTGGTGTAGTGCTTCAAGTTTCATACTATGACTGGTTCAAATCTGAACTTAGCCGTGAATCTCACTTGCTAACACTCAGCCTAACCTGCCTCACACAGTTGTTAGGAGGATGGCATAGGGAGAAAAACCACCTGTACTGCCTTGAGCTCCTTGGAGAAAAGGCATGGCTATAAATTGGAGGAGGAGGAGAAGAAGAGAGGGGAAAAAATAGACTATACATATCCACAATTATTTTCAGGGATTCTTCTTTGCACCCACAACCAGATTCAAATAGCAGGTCAAGAGATATGGCATAAAAGCTGTTATTTACCTTACCGTACTAAAACATCCAACAGCTACAGTACAATATTCAAGCAGCAGGTCAAGAGCTATGGCATTCAGCACAGGCAGGTAGAATCAATAGGGTCTTTATAACAACTGTAAGAGTCTGGCAAGCAGCCAGCCCAGTCATGCGTTTACATTTAAAAGAGCCTCATTATCAGTACCTGCCTCTGCTGGTCAATCAATTCCTGACAGTTACATAACATCAACATGTTCTTCATGCAGCTCCATTGCACTCCCAATGTATTCTTTAATTTGGAAAGGGTTGAGTGGAAAAGGCTGCATGGACCTCCTCTTCAGTGCTCCTCCCTCCTATTTAATGACTCCCTTTTGTTCAGCTCAGGCCTGAACAAGATAATGTAGCATTTGGGGAAGAAGATGCAAGTCAGCAACCCAGCACTGGAGGCTAAGATGGAGAAGATCTCCACAGCCACCATGTATTTCCCTTTGGTGCTCAAGTAAGTTGGAACAAAGGACAACCAAACACTGCAAAACACCAACATGCTGAAAGTGATGAACTTGGCTTCATTGAAACTGTCAGGCAAGTTCCGGGCAAAGAAAGCTACAGTGAAGCTGGCCATGGCTAGCAAGCCCATGTAGCTCAGGACACAGTAAAACATGATTGGGGATGACTCGTTACATTGCAGTACAATCTCCTCAGTCATTGACTGAGCATCACTATCAGGGAATGGAGGAGAGGTGGAAAACCACACCAGGCAGATGCCTGCTTGGAGAATGGAGCAAGAAACCACAATGGAGATGGCCAGGCTTTTCCCCACCCACTTCTTCATCCTGGATGCTGGCTTGGTGGCCATAAAAGCCAGAACCACAGTAATAGTTTTTGCCAACACAGAAGAAACAGCCATTGTGAAGACAATGCCAAAAGCTGTTTGGCGGAGGAGACACGTCACCTTTGTAGGTTGGCCAATGAAGAGCAATGCACAAAGGAAGCAGAGCAGGAGGGAGATGAGAAGGATGTAAGTGAGGTCCTGGTTGTTGGCTTTGACTATTGGAGTATCCTGGTGCTTCATGAATATTCTTAGCACCAGAGCTGTGGTCAAAGAAAATGAAAGAGCAGAAATGGTTGAAATGATGCCCAAAGGTTCTTCATAAGACAAGAAAGTTACTGTTTTGGGAATGCATAAATCCTGGTTCTCGTTTGCATATTGCTCATCTGGACATTTGAAGCAATGGGCCATGTCTGAAAAAGAAATGTTATATTGTCTGTACATAAATGTGAGTTATATTTTTCTTTTAAAAATAGTTTCTTGGGGAAAGTAGTTCCAATGTTTTTGGATTTTTAAAGCACAATGTGGGGCTGTTTGAAAGCCCTTTTGCAAAAAGCTTTTTGCTGCATTTTGAACCTCCAGTTTCCAGAGGATTAAATTGCATTACAGAGCTGTTTGTAGAAGAACTTTCCAACAGCCCTGTGCTGAAATTTGTGGTACTCACATTTGGGACTTCAATGTGCAGCACCATCTGATGATGTAGGGATGTCAGATGATTGGCAGGTGGATAGCCCTACCGAAAGTGGGGAGATATGATCTGGTCTACCTGCCAAATAAAGTTCCCCTGCCTCTGAGCACATTAATGAATAATTCTTAGGAATGATACAAAGCTGTTTGTCTTGCTCAGGTATTGCATTCTTTGCTGATGCTGTGAACATACCATTCTTTGCAGGAAATAATGGTTATGGGTTATGGGCCCTAGCCCTTTTGTTTTTGAGTCATTTCTTTGGTCCTTTTTGGTCCCCCCTCCTTTTCTTTTTTTTTGCTGAGGGGAATAGTGACTCACCACCAACATTATATCTTGTTATTCTCCCCACCCATCAATTTTGTGTCCCATTATCGGCTAATGTAAAAAATAAAATAAAATGCAATATTTTTGCAGTTGTGGCAGTTTTGTGCATTTTGTGAAACTTGTTTTTTAACGATAGCACCCCAGGATCTAATGAGTGGTCATAGCTTTACCCTTTTGGTCCATGGAAAATGGGATTGGATATCCTTTTAAGGGCGAAAGGGCATTAAATTGCACAAAAAAGCCAAGACCCACAAACAATGTTGAGGAAGCATGCAAATGAAACAGAGAAAGCAATTTTGCAATGGGAATCATTGTACAAAGTTTAGAATGCTCCCATTTGATTTAAATTAAGCATTGTGAAACTGCAGCCAAAGCTTTAAAGAATCTAGAATTTGAATTTGTTAGCAAGAAGTTTCC